AAGAAAAATCAAACTCAATACAATTGTTAACTAGCCTTGCTACGCAGACTGAGATTGATGCAGGAGCATGTTAGCGTTATATAAGTTCTCGTTCAATATTCTGGTAGGTATGCCTTATTTCTAAGTCTAATAGTAGTTTTAGAAACGCACTCTTCATTAATCCTAGTAATCTAGTCCTGCTATCTAAAGTTTCCTTTAGTTTTCTGTGCCAGAGAGTTTGAAAGAGATGGTGCAGGGGAGCACCAAATTGTAGTATCAGATCCTCAAATAAGTTGCTTGTTTAGGAAGATGTGAATCACATCCAATATTGCTTTCTTAGTTCCTCTGAAAATAAGAACAGGAAGCAGAAGACCAAAAGCTAATCCTCTAATCACCAAAAGAAGAATATTCTCCTGAAGGACAAACTACTAGGATTCTTGACTCTTGTCACTCCCTAAAGCACCCATGTTTTGCAAAATAAGTGCTTCCAGACATGGAGAAAGTTGAGAACAGAAAAAATACCAAGACCATAATCAATATATTGTTAAATTCTTCAAAAAAAAGGTATTAAGAATTCAACATATTACTGTATTGTAATTTGTTCTTGATTCCATGACAATAAGAGAATGCTTCCTGCATGAAAAATATAAGAATGATAATAATAACACAAGAAACTTACAGGCGGCTGGAGGGACTCCACAGAATCAGCAGTTGGAACAGAGAAACTACCAGAATCATTTATTGCTTGTCCCCTTGAATCAGCTTGGTCTGTCTGTGGCCTGCTAGAATTTCTTAGACCACCAAGACTAGGGCCGTTTAGAATCCTTTCTAGTGGATGCTCCTGGAAATCATAGTACGCAAAAAGGAAAAAAAAAGAAAAGAAAAGTTGAGACAAATAAAATTAATACATATTCAGTCATATTTCATGATTATTGAGCTCGAACACCCTTCACACAAAGGCTCCACCTAAAATCTGGAAAATTCTTAAAGAAAAGTCAGGAAGAGCAAAGCAGACATGTCTAAATGGCGAAAAGAAAAGAAAAGAAAAGAAATCTTTTTAGCATGCTTGTTAAATGGCGAAAATTAGAGTGAAAGTTGGTTTCTGCCAAGTCATGTCTAACCAAACATTGAAGAAAGAAAACATAAGATCCTTGCTAGCACTATCAGTTATTTTTCAGTTCAATGGAACAGTACCTTAAGGAAACAATACAGTGCCTAAGGCACAAGAAGTATATAAAGCTGCACATAAAGCATGCAGATTTACACTAAGCAGGTCAACCAAGTATAACTGTAACAAGTGAAGTCATAAGAGCTCTGCTTGTGTAATATCAGCAATTAATGTCATGATTCATGGATATACAACTCCTTTACAAATGTCTAGCAAGTCCAAAGAAAACTCATAACCTGAATGCAAAATCTATGACCCTGCCAAAGCAGGACTCCATGGTTTAAATGCCATTTCATGAATACATCACAAGTTTACTGTCAATTAAAACAGGTAAACAGCCATTCATTGAAGATAAGTCTAAAAACATGAAACTTTATCATTGCCAACAGTAGAATTAGCACGTATTAAATTTGTAGAAATTACAACAAAATGCCCCAAAAGAGTATGCGAGGTTGATAGTGGAAAATCTTCAAAAACTTACATTAAGATCAATCCCTTCACTGCCACTTCCAGCACCTGCTATTCCAAAAGAACCAAGCAGAGCAGAAAAAACCTAGAATATGCAAAGGAAAGATAGTAGAATGAAAAAGGGGGGTAAGAAATAAGTCATTCTGACACCATTTAAGTATAACAGGAGCTTTTAATCTAAGGCCCTGTTTGGCAAACAAGTTTTTCTCCTACAAGTTTTTTAACAACTTTAGCTACAGTAACCTCAAAAAACTCCCCAAAATTTTAAAAATCCACACCTTACAATACCCAAAAACACACAAATCCCTTCTTTCTATTCTTCTTCTTCCTCCCCCAACCTCAACCAACCCACCACCAGAACCACCGCCCGGCAACTCCGGCGGTGCCCCACCAGCCACTATTTTTTTCTTTTCTTTCTCTCCTCCCCTCCCCTCTCCCCGCCACCTTCTTCCGCTTCTCCCTCCCCCTGACAGGTTCCTCCTCAACCGACCACTCAATCTTTTCCTCGGTAAGGTTCAATAATTCCTCATCCGCATCATCATGGAGAACCAAATGCTTACCAGAGATTTCATCGAAAAGTTTGATGCAGCCATGGTACCACGATTGGTCCAACGGCTAGTAAATCCTAATTCTTTCATTGACAACCTCAGGTCGGTAGGATTTCATGGGAGAAGCCAAAGCAGAAGGTGAGGAAGGTCGGATGACTAGTAAGGGTTTCTTTGGTCTGGTTTCCAGAGCTGAAGGAGTGAGCAGGCTGGAGCTGGGGGAGGAGGGTGGCGAGGGGAGGGAAACGGGGGAGAAGGTGGCGGGGAGAGTGGGGAAAGGGGGAGGAGGAGAAGAGGGGAGGGGAGGAGAGGGGAAGAATGTGACGAGAAAGAAGGGAGAAGAGGGGAAGAGGGAAGGAAGGGAGGGAGGTAGGAGGAGAAGGGGAGGACAGGAGAGGGGAGGGAGGGAGAGAGAAAAAAAAAAGAGAGAGAGAAGGCTGACAGCGCCACCGTCGTCGACGCTGGAGAAGAAGAGCAGTGGGGTGGGAGAGAAGGAGAGGAGAAGAAAGAAAAGGAAAAAGAAAGAGAGAGAGAAAGAAATGGAAAAAGAAAAGGGAAAAAAAGGATAGATTCTTTTTTTTGTTAAAAAGGAAAGTTTTATTACAACTCAAAAAGTTTTCCTACAAATTCTACAGTAAGTTACAGTAAAGTTTTAGACAAACACCCAAAAAACTCATTTGCCAAACGGGGCCTAAAATCTATTTTCCAAAAGAAAAGAGTACTAGCGGCCAAAACAGCAACACTCACACGACTTAAATCAGGAAAACTTCCATCTTGTTCAGAGATATTAAAGCTTCCAACTACAACACCAGGACCTCGGCTTCCTTGACTACGCCCACCAGTGGATGCAGGATCAGTAGCTGCAAACATGTTGTGCTTAATCATCAAATTTTTCTGACAAAATTTGCAAAAACAACAGAGGCAGACACAAGGAAGATACTTGACAAAGAATAACCAAACACAATTGGATTAAAGGCAGGTGCATAAAGAGAGGAAAACTATAGAAGAGCAGGAACTAAAAAAGGGGTTTCATGGTACATCCCCCAGCACTTAAATTTTTGAGGAATTAGCACCTATTGAAACAGTCAAGTTCAAATACACGCAATAATAGCCACATCTACCTGTTCACCCATAGATTAAATAGAAGACGCATCCATGCAGCACCTCTAACATGAAATCTTACTTCGACTGGGTCATTGGGTAGACCAAGACCCAAAATGTGGGTCCCAAATGTGTGCCAAGGCCTACAATTCTAATATGTCATTGTCCAACAGTAGACCCAGTCTACTTCATCAAACTCCACTGATTACCTTCCCTTCTTTTCCTAACTACCATCCAACGATTAGATCAACTGAAATGCTAGCTTTGCCTCCACAATGGCTAATCCTGTCTCACCAACTTTATTTACCAGCATGATCCTGTTTACCACTGCTAGGTCTGTGAAGAGCTAGGTATACACAGCCTTACCACCAAGCAAGGAGTCGGTCTCTGTCAACCAACCCCTTGACCTCCAGTGTCACAATGCAAAGTCAAATGGACGTAGAGGGAGTGAGTCTCTCTTTCTTCACTTATTATCCAAATTAGCTCTTCCGACCTTGGCCATGGACTAAGGCGCAAGGCTCACTGCTTCACCAGCAGACAAAAGGTTCTAGACTATCCAATAAAACTAAAGGACATGTTTCAGGACAACTGAAACAGATAGGCACGCTTTGTACCTGCTAGCGAAATAATTTCTCAATTTATCTCATCCATCTGCTATGTTCATAATCAGCTATATAAATCTACAAGAATCTGCCATTATCCCACCAACTCCGTGAAATAATCCTCAAACAATTAGATAGATTTCAGAAATTCCAAACTTCTTGCGTTCTACAGGAATTGATAATCACAAACTCTGAGACCATAATAGTTTTTTTCTTTTTCTCTTTTCCCATTTCCCCTTCAAGAAGTACATCATCAAGACATAGATTAGGTAACAGAATAATAGCATAAATGCTTTTCCACTTTATGCATTGTCGTACTGATTATCAGTTTTTAAAACTAGAGGTAGAGAAGACCACAATAACATAATTTGAAGGTCTAAAAAGGATAATACTGCTCTAGCCATAAGCGAAGACAAGGCCCTATTAGAATGGACAAACATTTACTAGCTCACTGACGCAAGGGGGGGCAGGGAGGGACAGCCGCCGCCCCAAGATTTTATAAATTCTTTTATGTACCTTCTAAAATTTTGAAATTTTCACATATATCCTTGTAAAATTTAGATCTCCCCCCCCCCCACCGGGCGGAAAAAACAAAAAATTTTAGAAATTCCTTTATATGCTCTTAAAACAGTTAATATTTTCACTTCTACCTTTGACCAAGTTAGCTTTGCCCCCTAAGCTTTTTGCAAAAATTGCAAGACAACTACTTTGAAATATACAATTTTACAGTCTAACCCCACCAATGCTAAGTTCCTAGTTCCACCAGTGTACTAGTTGACCACACAGAATATGAACAGGGACCAGTTTAGGGGTTACATGGAATGCCAAATGGTTTCTCAATAGAAAATGAAAAAAAAGTACGTTGAATAACATGAGTGCATTCAGCTTCCAATGACAACTTAAGGGCAACCGATGAGTTCACCATTTCATTGTACACCATTCAAAGGTCAAAGAAATAAGAAACTATAACATGAGTATTTAACCAACAGGAATCCAGTATTACAACATCTTTATTGGTAGAGCTTATGAAGATTATAACCAGAACATCTTCCTCTGTGTCACCATAAACAAACGGCAAAACGAATAAAATACCAGACAAACATATCAACAATAGGCCTTTTAGCATATCAACAGAATACCGAACTTAGCCCTGGATCTAACAGTGTATTACATAACTGAAAGTAAACCACAGCAGTGAGTTTCTCATGAAATCAGTCATAAACAACACTAGTCAACTTTCACATTGATGCCATATATGTCATAGGATTATGCTGCAAACCCTGAACTGCATTCCATATTAGTTTTATTGCAGGATTATTCTGCTACCCATCTCTCACGTAACTATCTACAGAGATAAAGTGGAAATAAGACAGCTATCCCCTAATTTGAACGACAATGTACATATTCTTCTGGACCAACTTACTAAATAACTTACATACCCAGAACAAACACTGAAACTTTTCAAGTTTCAGATAAGTTTCAGAGCCATTGCAAGAAATAACGCCTTACAGTCTGCCTAAGATCAAATGATAACAACCTTGCAGAAGCATCCATTTCTGATATATCACTAAATCAAAGGATGGAGTATGTGCAGGGAAAGGTGAATAGATAATCAAGATCCATAAACATCACCATGACCACAAAGTTTCTTTGCTACTAACTTCAGTCAGTAAACGATTCAATTTCAGGCTGTCATTCAGACTCAAATCTCCTAGACAGTAGTAAATTGAACAATTCTTCAGTTGCTTGAAAGCCAAAGATCCGAGTGACTATCATGACTATGAAAGGAACATTCTGATGACTGTAGGTTCTCATTTGAGAAGATTGATTCTCAAAATTAGCACTTCCACAAAATATTGAAAGCAGCAAGGATGGCATGACAATAATATAGTCAGTGCACTGTTTAATATAGAAAAGGCCAAGAAGATCTTGTATTTAGAAAGAAGGTGCATCTTTCCATGCTCCTATATTAACTTCAAACCCAGCTTTTCACACCAGTCATCGAAAGGAATCAGATTCACAATGAAATTTGTCTGCAGATACAATATGTCCTACCTGAATTCGGAGAGCCCTCTGATGATGGAACAACGGGTTGTCTCACAACCAAGTGCAATGTATGTCCATCTTCCACATCTAATAAATATTTAGTCAAGGAACTCAGCTATCCATACAGCAAACTTCTATATCAGACATACCAAAAGCTAGAATTTTTTTCTAGCTGGAAGACACCGCTTGATTATAGCAGGTAGTCTCCAATGTCAAAGGTCAACCAATATTTAATACTCAATGACAGAAGTAGTAAAAATGACAATGATCATAAAAAACACAAACAGGAATACGCACTATTAACTTCCCATTTAATAGAGCTGAGCATACACTGCCATGGTTTTTTTTTTTTTCCTTCCAAGGTAATTATGCAGTCAAACACAAATGAAAACAATATATATGCAGTTTGCTAATTAGTCCTTCATAGGGCCTCTGCAATAACTGAAACAGAAAAAGATTAATTTCAAGCTGTCAAGATCCATCTTTTATCGAATAATTCCCAAGTATGTAAAAGTCTGGAACAGATATTTTGAAACTGTAAGTAATCATTATCAGCATATAGACTTAACAGAGTTTTTATTGCTCGTGGATGTACAAATAAATTCTTCTGAAGACTGGTATTGTTATTTCCACTAAATCTGGTAATCATGAATTGCGATAGGTTATTGGGAGACACAAATGTAGAGAGTAATTTATAATTCATTCTCACATAGCCTATTACTCTTTAACTTTGTTTCATAAGCGAAAAAAAAATGTTAAATCTGGTTATAAGGGTGTAAATTCCCTATAGTTAAGATTCTATTGGACGAAAAGAAAACCACAATAGAACATACAATAGTAAGAAGATGATTGTACCCTGCTATAAGCAACACCAATGGAATTAGAGTAACTAACTAAGAAGCTAATGACATATGGAAAAAGGATACGATAAGCGGAAAGGAGTTGATCATCCTTCAAAACTTTTCCCCGACATATAAGCCGCTGCTGTTCTGACAACACACCAGTAACTACAGCAATTTGTTCCTTCAGTGCAGGGACAGGCACCTGCAACAAGAATTGGAAGATTAAAACTGTTAGAAAAAAGGACTGACACCTGCAATACTTCTTTAATAATGCATAAGCAAGGTAACAGCAAATGATCCAACAATTTATTGGAAATGAGGAAATTAGAACAATATCCAAGCATCAAACTAGGTACAATACTGAGAGGAGGTGCCCTAGAACAATGTGCCGGCAATTATTCACGGGAAGAACAATAGGGATCCAAAAGTACATACACATTTATCCACTCGTAATGTGTAAGTCTGAGAATCCAATGTCTTTATCTTTATCTCAACAGTGGTCTCTGAACAATTTGCCTCATCTTTTCCTGAAACCACCCTGTTGTCATCACCATTGCCGGCCATTCCCTTAAAACTGTCTCTGATCCTTGAAAGTTTAGGATCAAAATTTCAGTTTGTTCCAAAGGCAAGCCTGTAGGATAGCTAAATCATGCAAAGAGAACAAAATCTTGATCCAGAACATCATTTCCATTAATGCAAGCTCATAGGCATGGGTACCATGAAACCATAGCCTACGTATAAGCATGCAGACAGGGAGGGGACATGAAAATGCGAAAATATGTGTAACTTTTTTGCGGTCACACCAAGACCAACAGGTATGACACTTAAACCGTTACTAATAAGTATGGCACCTTTGTTTGTCAAGTTTTTAACATTATTGCATTCAACAAACAATGTGATCACATCCCATAATTATTAGACATCAGTTTTTGTCACGTGCACTTGCAACACATCCCAGCAATAGCAAGAAGTATAGGTTCAGAACCACGATTGGGAATCATCGTGCAGGGTCAAAACCAACCTCGTCTGGAATCACACATCACAATTACACTGGTTACAGGGAATGGTGAAGGAAAAGGGATCAGGATTTCATTGACACTTGGCGTCTTCTTTTGCCCTGAAGCAGAAAGAACATCTACCCAACTGTTCAACCAACCCAACTTCTTTTGCTATTTGACAAGTAATCAAAACACACTAATCTTAGCTAAACAAAGCTCAAATTCGAAGCTCCAAAACCTCAGTGTTGGAACACCGTTACAGCTAATTATCTACATGACCAAGGGATATTAACCCTAAAAAACAAGAAAAAGAAAAGGAAGCCGTCAGGACCCTATGAGGAACAATATCTAGGCCAAAAAATCAATCTTTCTTTTACTACCGAATGAATTGAATAAGCACAAGAGAAACAGAACTAAAGGGGTGGTGTATTGGAGCTGGAACAAGTAGGAATAACCCTAGGATCCTAAGCAAAAGGCAGGCGCTGTATCTATTCTTGAATTCTTGATGATGAGACAAGCGATGCAAGATGAATCATATAAAATAAAACAAACAAAATAACAGAAGACGAACAAAACCTTGTGGATATGGGATCTCCCAGAGAGAGAGAGAGTCTGGGTGGGTGCTGCTGGAGGTTTAAACTGCAGTCAGCAAATGAGCAGCAGCAGAGAAAGAGGAGATGAGGTGTCAAATGCGGATGCGCAGACAAAGCCGGAGAGTCTCCCCTCTCAATACTACAGAGTTCTCAATTCGCTAATGCCCGCAAGTATTTACCTTTTAGAGAGTCTTGGATAATTGTTACACAAAGGGAATTCTAATGCAGATAAGACCGCATGAGTTCCTTCACGTATTTTCCTTGCGAAAATGCCTCGTCTCAAATGAATTATCAATTTTAAAATAATAACTATATACTTCTCATGAAATCAAATAGATAAAATTTGTTAAAATAATAATTTTACCTCCATTACAAGATCATCGATAAAATTTGGTGCCAACCAGAGTTTTAATCACTTTTTACACTGAATCCATGACGTAATCTACATATAGTCATTTTTTAGAGTTAAAAGGTTAATTCCCTTTTATAATCAAACAAATAATCGATCCATATTCATTTTTACTCCTAAAAAGAGTAGGATCAAATCTAATCCATATTTGTTTTTGCCATCTTTTTGATATCTGACCTTTTTATACATAAAAAATGACTACATATAGGTCATGTGGTGATTAATTCAATCTAAAAAAATGGCTAAAAACTTAAGTTAAGATCAAAATTAACTTGAATTTGTAAGTGACGTAAAGTTAACATTTTAGAAGTGAATGATAAAAAAATTCATTTGACAATAAATGAGTGACGCTTTAAATATTTTTCTTTTTTTCCCCTTTTTTCAAACAGCTTGATTTAGCTCTGAGTTGAATTAGCGTATATAATACCCGGTTTGAAAGTTCGTGAAGCTTAATTGATCTTAATAAGACATATATTTGTTTTCTTTTTAATGTTTATTACAGGAAAAACATCCATGTGCTTATCATTTATTTTTATTCAAGTTTGATTTGGCTAAAACTTGCGCCCAATGTTCAACCTAACTTATCTAATCTAAACGAAATTAAATTTGAAGTTATTCACAATAATTGCAAAAACAAAACCAAAAAATTTTGACAATTCAAGAAAATAACATAGGAATTTAAATTTGATTTTCTATGTTAATTTAAGATTGTGCATACAACTTTAAAAGCACACCCAAAGATTCTTTCTTTGATTAATCTTACCGTCCTAGTTCATTATAAAGCAATCGCGTAATATTTTTTCTTTTTTCAGTAATAAATACTACTCTATACATGACAGCGCAGCAGGTTTTTGTTTTTATAGAAAAGGGGGTTAAATGCACGTGGAAAGGAAAGAAAGGAAAAAAGTGCAGGAGGGAACTAATGGCTTCAAATCCTCTGTCCCCAAAGTTGTCTGTGTCCCTAATTTGTACAGCTGCCACGTGTCTCTAATCTTTTGTTAATCCAAACTCAAATAAATCGATAATAATTGATTTACAAGTTTTGTTAATTCAAATTCAAACAAAATAAAGAAAAGTTTTAGTTGATTTCTATGTTTATGATCAATAAGACTCTTTTTTGGTTAAAAATAAAATAAAATAAAAAGTTTTGAGTTATCTGTTTTAATTGATTTTAAGTAAACTTGTCAACCGATTATTATCAAAAGGCTAACTTGAGTAACAAAAGCCTAGAGACACGTGGCAGCTGTACAAATAAGGGACATAGACTACTTTGGGGACAGAGGATTTGAAGCCGGGAACTAATACTAATCTATATTTGGCGGGTAATGATTTTGCGGTGATTGTACATCGAATAAATAAGAAATAAGTGCTATTCATTTTTTAAATGAAACTTCAATTTAATATCAACTATTCAGTTCGCTCTTTATCTCTTTGATATTAACAAGGCGATAACCCCTATTTATAGAGGGATTTAAAATATAATCAATTGACTTGTAATAAAATGTTCTCGTAAGTTGTTTGTGATAGTTTTACCATTTCGGGAGAAAGTGATAAGATCTTTTCGTGCTAATTTCATCACCTCGAAACAGAGTCTCCAGTGATGGTTCCATCTAGAGAGTGGTAATAATTTTAGCACCTCAAAAGTCTCCAGTAAATTTAGCACTTCAAAAAAGATCATGAAAAGTTTGTCATCATGTGGCGGGGATGAGCTGAACATGATCGACATCAAGATTTGTTAAATTGAAAATTCTCACCTGCCCTCACGCCATATGTGATTACAGATAGTTGGGCCTTTCCGATCTAAAACGTGAAACAACTAAGCCTACGCCCGGAGTTTGTTGGGCACGTTGATTCCGGTTTTGATGGGCCATGGGGCATGCAAATCATCTAAGTTCATATGATTTGCATATTGGCCCAGGTGAACAATGTGCAATGCGGGAACGGTTTTAGTGTCTAATAAATAGTAAGTAGCTTCTGTAATACTATTTTGGAACAATTTGCATAGGTTTTGTACATAAAAAGAAACCTTCCTGTTCAAATAGCGTATTTGTTTTAGATAATATGAACAGTTAAGGGTAATATATTGCTCCCTCCGTCTTATTGAAAGTGTCATACTTTCCTTTTTTGACTGTTCCAAAATATTTGTCATGTTTGACATTTCTAATTACTTTATACTCTAAAATTTCCTTTATGCTATTCATTAATGACATATAAAGACAAATATGATGGGATTGCTTTCTACTTTTTACTTTAATTAGTATATGATTAATGACAAAAGTGAAACAAAAAGAAAAACTTTTTGATGAAGTGTACCATGCATAAAAAGTATAAATCTCCAAACATGACTAAACTTCTTTTTTTTTTTTTCAACACAGGGGTGTCCGGGTCAATTCTTACGAGACTCGACTAATTCCCTGCGACCCGGGAGAGGAGGCCCCACTCCACTCCGGATACGATAACTCCAGGCAGACTCGAACCTTGATTGCCCAAGACCGGACAACGTCCCTAAAGAGGAAAGCGTGACCGACTAAACATATGGGACGGAGGGAGGGAGTACATTTTATCACTCAGGAAGGAAAAAAAAAAAAAGGCTCCCAATCCCCAACAATCCAACACCTCCCACCCCCAACCCCCCAAAAAAAAAAAAAAAAAGAAATATTAACCATATTGGTTATTGTGAACAAAATCAATAATCCATGCCACATAGCCGTGTATTATGTAATTCGCCTTCATCTACGCAGAGTCTTAAAGGGGAAAAGGAGGATGACGTTTCTTGTACCCTATTTGATAGTTGGAAAAAACAAAAAAAGGAAGAACTGATTTTCAGCAGGAACCAAAAGGAATTCCTTAAATAGGCCGAAAAATCCGTTGTTACTGTCACTGAAATTGGGGGGGCAGCAGGCCAAGCTACCAGGAATAAGATGTGGCTGCGTTTAGATCAGATCACGACATTTAGTAGTAGTATAAATATAAAACACAGCTCTTCAAGATTCTTACCAATCCTCTCGAGTTTTAAACACATCATCTCATATATTTTTTACCCCCAAAAAGAAAAAAAAAGGAGAGAAAATGCATTGCATTTTATGAGTGATAGATACTATATTGCAGCAGCAGTGGGTGTGGATTAATCAATGCACAGCATCCTGAAGACATACATGTATGATCATCATTTGACAAGTCCCGACAATTTGGAAATCTCTGCCTTGCCTCCCAACGTAATTATTTACGGTATCCCTCCCCCCCAATTAGCCTTTTCTGCATTTATGTTTTCTGCTTCTGCTGATTGATTGATCTTTATTGCTCCTTGTTCCTAAATAATAATAGGACTTTAATTGCGGTGGGTAAAGGCGGCCTCACCATGGTCAAAATGATCGCTGGATTGACAACAACTAAATTTGTTTTCTCCATGCATGCATGGCTGCCTGCATTTAGGAACCGATTTCCACTAATCAAAAACCTCACCATATTCTCTAGTACAGAATTCTCTGATGCACCGTCCGGGCAAAGAGCAGCTGAGTTGTCGATGATCGCTCGATCGCATCATATTCTCTTTCTTAAAAAAAAAAAAAAAATTCTCCAGCTGTACCACCAGGGCGCCCTCTCATTAGTGGAGTGTAAATAAGGTTGTGTTTGGATTATAATTTTTTTTAAAAATTTTGTTTAGAAAATAAACTATAACGAATTAATATATGTATGATAAAAAATTAATTAAAAATATATTTTTAAAAAAAAATGTAGAGATTTTTGGCAAGTAAGGGAAATCTCCACATCCGCCTCACAGGTCAGCCAGCCACCTGCCATATGGCAATTATTAGATGCTACAAGTTACACGGACCTACTTATTACCATTCCTAATTCAGGATTTGCTCCAGGAGTTGGCCGCCTACTTATTCAGGATTTGCGTATATTCCGTGGCGTATAAGTCTTTATCTAACAACAACAATTGATTTGTTTTCTGTAATTTATTTTTTCTTTCTTTAGGGTACAAATGTCGGGTTGGAAAAGCGTATGTCTCAAGTATCGCCCACATCGCTTACACACGTAGCTTCTCCTGCTTTAGTTTACACTTCAACGGACCTTGTGCAGCAGGTACGTTTTCATTTTCATAAATATATTACTATTGTATATGATCAAATTCCGAACAAACGTTTACTACCACTTACATGCGAATACCAACAAGTTTCTATCTTTTTTCACCGACTTCGGATTTTTTTAATATTCTAATCAGGGGTGCTCTGGAACGCTCGATAATATATAATTAAATCATCATACTTAGCTGACCTTATTACGTGAACTTACACATTCATATTTAATGCATACTCCGTATTTAGATTAGGGTTGCAAACGAATCGAACCGCTCGCAAGCGGCTCGAGTCAAACTCGACTCGAACTCGATCAATATCGAGCTACTCGACTTCAAAATATTAAGTTCGTTAGCTCGCGAGCTCGAGTGTATATATATATATATATATTATTTTAAATATATATATTTTTTAAATTTTAAAATTTTAAGTATATATATTTTTTATATTTTTAAATTTTTATAATAAAATTACATATATATCCTTAATATTGTATTATTTATTAAGAAAAAAAATTATTTTATTTATTTTTTAAAAATAAAATAATTATTTTTTATTTTTTTCGAGCTCGAGTTTGAAATTGTCAGCTCGTTGAGCTCGAACTCGAGTTCGAGTTCAATGAAATTATGTCGATACTCGACTCGATTAGGCCAAAGTTCGACTCGACTCGGCTCGTTTGCAGTCCTAATTTAGATATTTTGT